CGAAACCCGACAGGAACCTGAAATGAAAATAAACGGGTTGACATGACACGACACGTTAATTAAACCGGTCGGGTTAATGTAAGTTCTCTCAACCCGTTTACTGTGTTGATACGACACGAACCCGACACGACACGACACATTTTCCAGGTCTAATGTCCAGTAAGAATGAATACACAAGAAAATAAAGTTTAAAGGGAAAATAACATAAAAACCTTTAAGTTTTCAAGAAATGTTTGGTTTTACCCTTTGAGAACTTTTAGGTTCAATAATGCCTTAGATTTAGAATTTAGTAGATTTGGTCATTTTTACCCATCTATAAGGTTTTGATCCTTCTCAACTGGTCACCAAGCCAACTGGGAAGCTTACTAGGCTGTAAATGTTGATGTGGAGCTTAAGAGGCAAGCCACTATCATTTTTACCCGTCAGCACTAGTAATCTACTAAAAAAATTAAAACTAGGCAAAAATGCAAATTGGAGGGATTGAACATGGGACCTTCATATACAAGTTCAAAGGCTTTTACAACAAGCTACATATCCTTTGGTGTTTTTAATCTTGCTTCCTTGTAAATAAATTTTATAAAAGAAAAAAATTATTTATTTATTTATTTATTATTATTATTATTATTATTATGTAATTAAATTTTATATTATGATTAATTATTAATTATTAATACATTTTTAGAACGTATTTATATATATTTAAAAACATAATTTTATTTTGAAAAACATTTTGTATCTTTAAAAACGTAACATTTTTTTTTAATGTATCTATATCTTTAAAATTGTATTTGTATATTTAAAAACATAATTATATTTTAAAAAACATTTTGTATCTTAGAAAACGAAACATTTATTTTCTTAAAATGTATCTATATCTATAAAATTGTATTTATATATTTAAAAACAATTTTATTTTTAAAACGTTTTGTATCTTTAAAAACGTAACCTTTTTTTAAACGTATCTATATCTTTAAAATTTTATTTATATCTCTGAATCGGTATAAATACGTTTCATAATACATAAATAAGTTTGTATAAAAAACGTCTTTATAGATGTAGAAATATGTAAGAAAATCATTATATATATATATATATATATATATATATATATATATATATATATAATGATTTTCTTACATATTTCTACATCTATAAAGACGTTTTTTATACAAACTTATTTATGTATTATGAAACGTATTTATACCGATTCAGAGATATAAATAAAATTTTAAAGATATAGATACGTTTAAATATATATATATATATATATATATATATATATATATATATATATATATATATATATATATATATATATATATATATACACTACTAGAAACTTGAGTTTCAGCTACGGATTTTGCTACAGATTTATTCTCTAGCAAAAATTTAGACTTATAGCTAGGGAAATACGACAGATCTACCATGTTTTTAATAATTATTTTATTTATGTAATATATGAAATATTAGTGAGGATTTACAGAGGGATCAGCTACGGATCTGGCAACTATTTAACGATACATCACTATTCCTCGCTAATCACTCGAAAAATGAAGGCCCTTAGCTATGGTTCAGCGAGGGATAACAAAATTGTGGCATATGGTACGCGTTCAGCGAGAGAACGACGACAGAAAATTTATTTGGGGTGCGCACGTTTTCTTTTTTCTCTCGCTGAAATTGGCACCCAGTTCCATCTTCACGAAGCCAGTGTAACTTTCCTTCCCTCAAGCTTTATCACTCTTTACTAAGTGTAATTAGCTTCTGCTTTATCTCATCACCATCTCTGTTCGAACAGATGACGACGCCACTCACCCGATTCCGGCAACCTCCATATCTTTAAATCTGAAAGTATTCTTCGTTAACCTCCGATTCAGGTAAATCTCATCCCTCTTAGGTTAGTTTTAGTTCAATTTCACAATATACTTTGTTAGGGTTTAATTTACCTTGAAACTTTCTGGTTATTGTGTTTCGTAGCCATATGGAATGCCTTCTTCATTATCTGCAAGGTAGTTTCAGGTCTACCATCGAATGCATCTATATAACAATAAACACTTAGAATTAGAACTTGAGTTAGGGATTGATTCATCATAGTTTGTCTTCCAGTTCATGAGAATTTAAGGATTCAGGAACCCTTACGTTTTTAGGTTTTCCCTAATTCTCTTTCATATTTAGGAGGTGGCAATGTGAATTTGAGAAGAAACAGGTGACTTATCCTTCATTATAACAAAGGAGCTGTTCGTTTTCTTACTTAATGGGTACTTAATCTGGACACCTAATGACTGACTTAGTTTTCTTTTTGTGGTCTAGAATTGTATACATATCAATAAACCCTAGCCCTAAATCAATCATAATAGTTTTCTTTTTCTGGTCTAGAATTGTACAATTAATTCTACTGGTGACATATTCACCAAGAAGGTAATACTCGTCCTCCAGTATTCTTCCTTTCAGTTTCAGGTTTTGGATTTGAAGTGTTTGTGTGATACTCACACACCTTGTCAAACAATTCCAAATCCAAATCCTCATATGGTATTTCATAAAAATGGTCAACAGCTTCTACAAGTGGATCCGATTTTGGTTTTTCAAGTACCCTTTTCTTTGAACGTGCAGTGCTTGCAACAAAATCATCTTCATCTTCATAACCTAAATCCTCATTTGGGATTTTGTTTAATGTGTTTCTCCTTCTTTTAATTCGACTTCAACACTTGGAAGAGGGATAGGTCCTTCAAACAAGTTGGAACTTAAATCAATGTCTGCAAAGGGAACAACATCAAATAAAGATGGTAGCTGCCCGTGTATCTGATTGAGGGAAATATTTAGCAAGGATAGGTTAAAGGTCATATCCCAAAACCAAAAGGATAGTTGATATTTTTCTGAGTTTTAAGCCAAACAAACTTTTTTCTACTTCAAAAATAATGATATGAGTCTATAGAAGTTTGGCATTAGTTTTTCATACATTGACTTATAAAGTCAAACAAACTATTTTCGATTTCGAAAATGATATGAATCTGAACTTATTGAAGTTTTTGTGGAAAAAACAGTAATTGGGTTTAAGAAATACAATTAGTGGTTTAAACAAAAAAAGAATACAAGATCATATAAATTTCACCCAAATAGAAGTTTGATTGAAAAAAGTCAAAGGATAATTTGTAATAGAGATAGGTTGACTTACATATAAGTAAAAATAACACTTTTTTTTTTGAAAAAAAAAACATTAATAATCGGCCTTATTTTTATGACTTTGTGTATTAAATACAAAAGAAAAGTCATTTTTATCTTATTAAAACTTGACTATGGTTTTTAATTTTTAATTTTTATACAGAATGTGAAGGCTATTTTTGATGCACCCATTAAAGTGGTTCTGCAGCCACCAAAACTGAAGAAGAAAAAGAGAAAAATCAAAATAAGTAAAAAAACAGTTTTTTTTAAAGTACATGAAAATTGCTTTTAAAAAATCCAAAATCTAAAAAGTGAAAAGAAATAGAAGAATAAGGTTTTATATTTTAAAGAAAAAAATGGTACCAAATAATTAGGGTTACAAGAAGCATAGGATATGATGATTAATTTCATCCAAAATAAAGCAAACTACAAATACCCAAAATAGCCTCACTCAACTATTTGGTGTTAAACTGAAACAATATACATATGATATGCTGTTACAAACTTGTCCAAAGTCCAATCTACTTGATATTTGGCACAACACAACATTTTTTTGTTTTTGTTTTTCTTAAGACAGAAAGCAAAAGTGAGCAGGTACTTTTAAGAAAAAAGGGTAGAAAGGTAATTAGCACCACATGGTAGAAAGGTAAATAGCACCACAAAAGTGAGCAGGTACTTCATCAAATAATCAGGCCTGATCTTCACAGAGTAAGCAGGTTAAATTGATTAAACTTGTGGTTTATTGATAATGGCATTTTCGTAAATTTTGTCATCACTTTTCAGGTTCTGTTGACTTAAAATCATACATTATAACAAGTCAACTAGATCCTGGAGTCTACAAAAAGCATGTTGAAGATACAACAAAATCAAACTTGACTGGATTTGCATTTGTTGTTATTGGCATTGTTCATCTTGCTGGAGGCAAAATTAGTGAAGGTATTGTTATAACTTCTTCAATCAGACCATGATTTATGTTTCAACAACACATTTAGGTGCCCTTTTTTTTTTACTTAATTGGATTAATGGAATGAGCTATATATGAGTGTTTCTTTTTTTACTTAATGCAGAAAGAACACTTAATAGAGAAAGTAAAGAAAATAAGGTGCTGTTTCTTTTTGTCTTAATTGGTATACAATGACTTGATGGTTAAGCCAAAAATACCTGGCTTAATGTATTAAGACTTTAAATCTTTATGTTTTTTCCCTTCTTTTTTATTTCTCCCAACTTCTTTATTGTTACAATTGATGAATATTGTGAAAATTTTGTTTTGGGATGTAAGGGTAAAACCGTCATATTTTTTAATCCTCTTATCATTTAATGATTTTGTCTTTTGAGTACTGCTCGTTTCGATTAATCTTTGTATTGATTAGGGTTTCTTGATTTGGTTTTGATTTTTGGATTATTAAGGGTTCCGATTAGGTTTAGGTGTTCCATGTTTGCTTAAACGAAAGGGTAAATTGGTCATTTATCTCATTCAAACGTTTTATTCACATAAAAAAGAATCAGACTATGTGTATACAATATTTTATTCTAACAGACATCATTACCCATTCAACCACTTCATCCCTATAAAACTTAATGTTAGAAAAAAGTGTTACAAATTTTTTCTTAAAAATAGGTTTCCATTCATCAAGAATCTCAACTTTGCCACTAGAGTAGCAAGACTTTTTTCATGGATACTCCATATAAGAGGAACAAATTTAAAGGGTTCATGCAAAAGGCTGCAACAAAATATAAAAATTGCTCAGAAATAGGACTAAATGAAAGAATTAGCAAACTTATTTTTGGTAGTAAACAATATATCTGAGGCTGCCTATGATCACATACTTCCTATAATTAAGCGG